TACCATTGCTTTTTCATTTGGTTTTGCCAAAGTAGAGTCATTAGCATATTTATTAGGGGGAGGAGGCAGGGAGGAGTTTCACGTTAAGTCTGATGTACAAAGAGAATATGCGTGGGATTCCATGTACGCAGTGTTTCATACATCTGTATTTTTTACTGCGTACGCACGTTTTAAGCTTTGTGTGTACTCTATGTTTTAGTATGAATTCAACGCAAGTCTTCTTTCATGAGGCCCCAGGTCTTGAAACGCTTCTGACATGACCAACTCTTTGAATCGCTCTTTAGTCACATGACCTGGGTGTTTCGAAACACTTACGCTTCAGAATCTTGACGCTTTCGAAACGTCAGTTTCACGTCAGCCATCCCTACATATCCACTTAAGTTGTGACGTACCGATGACATATGAAATACTGTTTCCGGGTTCAAACCGCTACTCATTAAAATTGAGAAAACATTTGTTTATAACCACTTGTCATGTCACACATTAAAGTGAAATACATATAAAATAAAGGTTTACACAACAATCTCTAGACTTGCTCAGACATCTATATTTTAACAATTTATTTTTAAAAAATTCATCACTTTCTGTCCATCAGATATTAAGCATACAGTTGAAGTCAGAACTATTAGCCCCCCTTTGAATTTGTTTTTCTTTTTGAAATATTTCCCAAATTATGTTTAACAGAGCAAGGACATTTTCACAGTATGTCTGATAATATTCTTTCTTCTGGAGAAAGTCTTATTTGTTTCATTTTGGCCCGCATTAAAGGAGTTTTTAATTTTTTAAACACCATTTTAAGGTCATTATCATTAGCCCCTTTAAGCTATATATTTTTCCATAGTCTACAGAACAAACCATCAGGGCGAAGATAAAATAAATCAGTTATTAGAAATGAGTCATTAAAGAAATGTATTGAAAAAAATCTTCTAATAATAAGGGGGCTAAAAATTCAGAGGGGCTAATAATTCTGGCTTCAACTGTATGTATTGCGATCGGGATTTTCAGAAGTATTACATCGCTTTGTAAACAATTATTATAATTTTTTGTTGAGTCTCTCCATACAGTTTGATAGAGCACTTGGACCCGGAAGCCGCTTCGCGTGACATCACACTTAACAAGCGGATGAGGAGTTTATTGAGCTAAAAGTTCTGATCTACGGTTTGTTAATATCGAGAATCGCATCTTAAATAAAGAATCTTTATTGCGCCTACCAGCCAATCAGAATCAAGAATTTTAAAAGACCAAATAAAAGAAGCTTTCAAAAAATGTTATTAAAAGTTTGTAATGTTGTTGCTTTTGTTAGAGATCAATTATGGTTAGATATAGTTCTGGTTTTTAAAATATGTACAAAATGATTAGTAAAACATGCACAATATTTCTTAATAAACTTGTTCTTAGAGTTATATGTTGTGAGGGCATGGAAACCCATCTCTCTGTGGACTGGAATCCAGATTAATGTCCTCCAAAGGATCCAGGTTCATGAAACCAGCTGATTAATGTGTGTCTGAAGACGTACGTAACTCCCTACAGGCTGCGTGGACATGGTAACCACACTGGTGTTGTGGGTGATGTTCCCAAGGAACCACAGGCATAAGGATACACATTACCCTGTTAAGCTAAAACTCACAGCTAAGCTACTTTTCAATGGAAATAGGTTGAGAACAGTCTTAACTGTTATCCAAAATGTTCTAATTTGTGCATATTAATAAAAAGAAAATTTTCTATATTCAATGTTTCAGGGAAGTTTTTTATAAAAAAGACCACAAGGCCAATAGTTTACATAATTACATGGAAATAGATGCCACAAAAATTTAGGAACAGAGTGATTTGAAATAAGCCAAATTATATTAGATATAACAGTAAATTGTAGACCTTTACACCATATTTAGTGGTTTTATTGAGATCAGGAATAATGAGACGTTAAGTATGTTGTCTCATTATTCCTGATAACAATGAAACCACTGAATATGGTGTAAACATCTAAATCTATCTGTTAAAACCATACTGTTTTTATGGCAGTGGGCTAATTACAGCATTCTCAAAGGGATTGAGTTTCTACCCACTGTCCTAAGGGCAACCCTTGTCAAGGTCACTTGATCTCAGCAGACTCTTAACATCCAAAGCTATAGACGGTCAGCAAGCTCATGAAAAATTTAAAACAATTGTCTACAATTGTTCACTTTATTAATTAAAATCTGAACTGGTAACTTTGGAAATTCAATCGGTGAAAAGCAGGAATGCAACTGAGCTTTTAAATATTTAAACCTTGGAGTAAATATTTTGTTTACGTGTCACTTTTATTAGCCCAAATCAAGCAAAAACATTGTAGCAGACCTCAAGAATCATTCTTATTGGTATTGCTTGCATTCAGCATCCATTTCAAACTGTTTTAATTTTGCAATAGCATATAAATAAAACTGGCTCGTGAAATAGACACCAAAGCCGAACACTTTAAAATCAACAGAAGGAAAAAACCCTGACTTAAAACTTACTTTATGATATGTTGCCATATGGCAACAACGTGCAATAGTGGATCTTACTTAGAAATTAGACATTTAAAACTTTCCTTATTTTTAATAATTTTGTTGTTTGAAATGATTTAATTGTTGCTGCAGTATTATAATCGCTAACACAGAACTTATACATACTTTACAACTGATATTCCAACAGCTTTCATTTCTTCCATTCTTTTTTGCTGAACATAATTGTATAAATAATAATAAAATATGTTTTCAATAAAGTAAATATATTTTCTCCAGTAAATATTATAACAAATAAATAACAAGTCTAGTACATCCAAATGCGTCAGAATAATGTAGCTACTAGCGAAGAATGTTTGTATAGTATGCTATATACCAGTGGTTCTCAAACTTTTTTCATCAAGTACCACCTTAGAAAAAAATTGTCTCTCCAAGTACCACCAAAATGAGCAGTATTGAAATACAGTAGCGTAGTAGGCCCAGTAAAGCAGCTACAACTCTGCACAGTTAAAAAACCTGGCAGATTACCTCAGAAATATAGCCTACATATAATATATGGCATATTATATACATAATTTTTAATTATTTGTAGCATGTACATGAGATATTTCATTCCTCCGTGTACCACTAGAAGGAAGTACCACAGTTTGAGAACCATTGCTATATACTACACCCGTCTAATCTGCTTCTGAGCTAACTTACCTAAACTGTCTCCATCACTGCTCTTATCAAATGTCCAATCTGCATCATTCTTATGGTCACTAAAACCCATTTCATCCTCACCTTCATCTGCAGCAAGAGCCAGTCCTGTCTTTTTCTTTTTCCGCTAACCATAGAACATGAGTGTTCCCTTATACACAGTTCCCCTTTTATATTTAATCAAAGGTATTGCCATTAAAATAAGATTTCATCCATACTGCAAATGCCTTTAACATATGATTAATCAACATTATATTAATAGCATTCATGTTGTTGTTGCTGTTGTTACAACTTAAAGGTTCACAGCTGACCTTGCTAGCTAGCTAACCTTTTGCATGTTTCACTATTGGACAGTGTTGCCATTTGGTAACACATACATTTGATTGATTTACAGAAAATTCATTAGATAAAAATGTATTTGATTTGTGAATGTCATCATAACTTACTGGAGGTGATTTTTCAGATTTTTTTGTGGATTTGACAATTTAATATTTTGTTTTTATTAACATTTGTATATGCATTCAGCAACTACTCACAATAAACGCCAGTCTGTCAGAAATCTTGCATGTCATGGGACTTAACCAAAGCACATCATTGGCTAAACTAAGGTCTTCACTTTTCAACAAAAAATTAGAACATTGGTCTTAAAGAAACAGTGGCAGAGAAATTAACAAATATCATGCTATAATATGGCAATAAAATGCAGTAGAGGGTTAATGTTTACATATTTTGTAAGTGTGTAGAGGAGAGAATAAGACAAGATGACACCGATACATTTGCTGGCCATTTTATTGATGTTACTTTACAGTTGAAACAATGACAACAGAATAGAAACCAGCATTTAAAGGCAAAATTAAAAAAAAAAAAAAAAAATTCTACATGCTATATCCGAACCTAATTCAATCATGCTTGCTTGGAAAAATAACTTTAATAAAAACATACAATTAAAATAAAATTAATGACTTACAATATACTTCACCATTAACTTCATTTTAAATGTACCTTCCACTGGTTTTCTTCTATGCAATATATATATATATATATATATATATATATATATATATATATATATATAATTAAGACTTTAAATTGAGCGAAATGCTGTAAAGCAGTATTTCGCTCATAGAAAAGCACCTACAAGTATAAAATAAAACCTCATGGTGAATCCTTATGAAAACGAACGCTGGAACTTGGGAATTTCTGTACAACTCAAACTCAGATGAGCGATCATCCACGGCTTAAACACAGAGCGTCAAAACAGACTAGAATGGAAGTCTAATGCCTTACATTGAAAACTTACAACGTTCTTAAAATAAATATCTCACATCTGCTAAAAATAAATAATGATCTTAACACTTCACTATGGCAAATGCAAAATGAAAAATAGAAGTCGCTGTGCACTACTTCGTCGAGAGGCCGAGTGTTTCTTTAAAAGCACTACATATGGGAGACAAAACCTTCTGCTGTTACCTTGAGGTAGATAACGCCTTTACGAACCTACAGTTAACGTATCGCAAACCAACGGTCAACGTTTACTGTGCTGGCATTAAGTTTAAGGAAGTTTACAGTATAAACAAAATGACAGAAGGCTTCACTTTTAAATGGAAACGAGATGGAAAAGGTTCAAATAAATACATGAGCCTTTAAAAAAAAAAAAAAAAAAAACAACAGGAAGAGAAAGGCCAAGACACATCGTTGTGTCTTTCCTATTGGCTGTCAGTCAGAAGGTCACATTATGATGTCAGTGGCGGTGTCTCCCACACGGTAGGTGCATTATTCCGCCCTCTTTTTTACCTTGCAATGAATAATTTGTTTCTCTACTTAACAGTCGTTCCTCTGACTTTCCCTAACAGGATTCTGAATCTACAGTACACTGTGTGCAAATGTCATGCCGTTAGTTTCTTTTTATATAGATATATGTATATAATATCAGAGTTGAAACAGAAAATCAGAGGGCAAAACGTTTCATGAATTGGAACACAGTCCAGCACTTTGGATGAATTTACAAACTGAATTAATTTACATTTAATCCACGAATTAAAAAAAAAAACAAGAGAAAGAAAGAAAATAAAAGAAACAACATTTCCTTAAAAAGTAACCATATGTAAAAAGATAAGAAATGATTCAAGTACAGAAATACTATAAAAAAATAAGCTGGACTCTGCTTGAATTGGGTGAATCTTTCAATTTAAATGCTTGAAAATGCTGCTGTAGGTCTTATGGGCGATTTGTGGGGAGTGTTTAACAGCGGATGGCGCTAACGTGGCCTGGATGGACTTCAGAGGAATGTCAGCCGCTCCCTCGAACCCTGGAATGGCCAGAGATTCCAGTTGCATGTTAAAGACAATCTCTCCGCTACAGGATATGAAGTCACTCTCCGTGGTGGACACCACCTCCACAGGCTCGAGGATCTCAGGCTCCACATCGTCACGCTTGTTGAAGAGACGGTCCAGGTAACTGCTCTGGCAGCTGCTGTTTTCCTTTTGCAGCTGCTCGTCTTTACGGACGTCCCAGCAAGCCTGGTCGATCAGGCTGCTCTCGGCAACACCACAGTCCGTGAAACTCTCCCAAGGGCACGGAGCCCGGACGCCGAGCTGTGCCAGGTTGACTAGGCACTTCTCTTCTTTTTCCTGACTGATGGATTTGGACATGGAGCCACAAGGAGCGCGAGTGTCCAGCTGTGAAACGGAGGTGTTCAACTCGTTCAGGAGGTCAACGTCGCCAGATTCCGGCTGCAGGCTCAGTTTGATGGTGCTAGCGATAAACGAGTCGAAGTCAAAGCCCTGGTTGTGATTCTGGTGTTTTTCCTGATCGCGATCCTTCTCGGGCACCGTGTGGTTCTGAGATGCCTCCTTCAGAGCGATCTGAGCCTTGACCAGTCCGTTCTTCTCACACTTGCTCTTGCCCTTTTTGTCAATCTTTTCTTTGCTCTGTTGCTCTTTCCAGTTGGAGAGGTCGATGATGAGTTTGGGCTCGTAGTAGTGGTTCACCTCACTGTCCCTCCAGATCAGATTGTCCAGGTAGGATGGGGATACAGCTTTATAGTTGCATGTGTAGCTGCACTCCTGGTCACAGTACTTGTTCTCGTGGTGATCTTCCAGCTGCCACAAGTGCTCTGGTGGGAGGTCGAATGATGGATCTTCGAGGAACTTCTCGCAATCTCCATCCATGTATTTCCGGGGGTCGATCTGGACCTCCTCCTCATCAGTCACATCTGACATAGCTCGAGGATCACGCTGCACATCTTCCAGCTCATGGGTGCTGTGCAGATGCCAGTCTTGATCAGAGAACTGACTTTCATGATACCTACGGGTGTGAAGAAAAAGCAGCGAATGTCAGTTCATGAAAGGTTTAACAGAACTAGAGAAATTACAGTAATTGCAAGCTTAAAAAGCAGTTTGGGATCTCTGTTATTCCTCATTAACTTGACTGGACTGTTGCATGTAAAGACGAAAAGGCTCCCATGGCATAGGCAAGATGGCAACCAGGAGATTTGACTTTTACTTATCCTAAACCAGGGGTGCTTAACCCTGTTCTTGGAGATCTACCATCCTGCAGAGTTCAGCTGCAACCTTGATCAAACACACTTCGCTTTAAATATCAAGTGCTCCTTCAGGTCCTACTTAGTTGTGTTTGATTAGGGTTGGAGTTGAACTCTGCAGGAAGGTAGATCTGCAGGAACAGGATTGAGCACCTCTGGTTTAGGACAAGGTCAAATCTCTTGGTTTTGACTTTGGAAAGGTAGATCTCTAAGGACAGGATTGGGCATTCCTGTGCCAAACTAATTTTTCTATCACCCTCTCTACCATTTCTCATGATGAACCAATGCTGGTATTTTTCTATTAGGTGTAAGCTCACCTGTCCCAGTTGTAGACGTGACTGTGACTCTCATCCATGAGAAGGATGTCATCCACCTCATCCTCAATGTGGAAGGGGTGCAAGGACACTGGTTCGTCTAGAGGGAATGAATAGTCGCTCATGTATGGATGAGCAAGAGCCTCTTCTGCAGTGAGACGGTCCATTGGGTTAAATGTCAAGATCTTCTCCAGGAAATCCAAGGCTGTAGTGAAGCAAAAAATAATACATCAAATACTGGCTGCTGTTTGAATGCAATTCAACACAGATTTTTGACTCATTATTTTAAGAAAATATCTAAATTCGTAATAAATCAATTTAATTAAAAACTGGGTCACGTGAAAAAGTGGTATGAGGGTTTCCAGGAATTTAAACGTCCATAAATTTGAGCTTCTGAGAACTGTTTGCCAAGAGCAAATTTAGCTTGTGCAACTCACCCTCAGGGCTGACACCAGGTAGCAACTTGGCAAGGGGCGTGTGTGGTTCTGACATGTCGTTCTTGATGAAGACGGGTATAACGCTTTGGAGTTCCAGTCGGTCTTCCTCATGGACTACGGGAATGGATTCCAAAATCAGCTGCATCTGTTCCAACTCGTGAGCTCCTGAACATACAAATGTTTCATTTAAAGAAAGTCAGGGCAAATGCTCAGCCAATATTTGGCACAACACACTTGTATGCTCAATGCACTGGCCTAGTTTAGAGTACACCTTTGAGTTGGCTAACATGATATTAATCTCAAGGTTCCCACACCATTTGAGCAGTGATTTATTGGACAAGGATGTAAAGAAATTGCACTCCGTTTGTAGGCAATGAAATATATAAAAGCTGAAAATAACTATAGACACAGTTAGATGCATTAAACATGTCCATGACGTTTTTGGACATGGAAATAGCCATTTAAAATTGCCAGATATTTCCATGGAAGTGGCATCCCTATAAACCAGCTGTGCCTCGGCAGGCAAGCTGTCAAAGTGATTCTAAACTGGCACCAAACTTAAATACACTAAAATTCAATAAAGGCAACAGTGCTGCCCTAGTTTCCATTAAGCTTGAGTTCCAAAACAAGCTCAACTCTTTACTACCATTTTAAAAGATTCTGTCCTGGTTTTTTATATAATACACTAACAGTACAAGAAATGACCTTCAACTACCTGATTAATGTGTGTATGTGTGTAAGATAAGAGAAGCTAATGTAAATGAAAATGAGCAACTAAAAAGTGGCTGAGTAAACCAACAGTTTTAATACCTGCAAAGAGTGTTTTTCCAGTCAGCATTTCGGCAAAGATGCACCCAGCGGCCCACATGTCAATGGCTTTGGTGTAGTTATTGGGGGATAGAAGCAGACGAGGAGAACGATACCATTTAGTGACCAGTCCTTCAGACAGATGGCCCTACGGGAGAGAGAAGAAATCTGTTACCAAAGTCAGAGTTTCAGACAGACTTTTGGCAGTAGCACTATAATTATAAAAATAAAAAATAAAAAAAAGCTGATGCTTGAATGGTTAAAAATTCATGATCATGTCTCATCGCAATCATGTTGAGGTCATGCATCACATGGTATGTGTAAAACACTTAGGACAGCTGTGTTCCAGACAGTAGCTGCAGGGCTATCAACTCAGTTTCACATCCAGCTCATGATAAAAACTTCTGGTGTTTAGTTTATAGCAGTTCCACAAGATACACTTACTGTAAAATGATATATAAATGATGCTACTGTAATTTTAAAATTCAAATATGCATTATGGGGCACTACACAGCGGCATAAACTAACATCTTTGGTCTATTTTCCTGAAATTCCTCATGCTAACTATCATTATGGGGCAAGCACAAATGAATACTCCCAATAGTTTTATATATCTAGATGTAACTGAACAACACTTGGGGTTGATTCGCACAGATATTCGAGTGTATTGTCTGAGTACTGAAAACTGGATTTTGCTACCATCACAGTAATCCAACAACTCCCAGTTCTACACCACAGGACCAAGCTATGCCAAGTCAAACATACATTTCTGGCCAGAGGATCAGTAGGACAAACAAAAAGATAATGACAAGTGGAGAAAACAAGTGGACAGACAGACAGATCAAGATAGATAAGCAGTCCCACTGCATAAAAGAACTAGGATAATCTGTCTCGTGCCCAACACAGCAGACAGACACGACTGTGACATCAACCAACACCTCTGGGTCACAGTTCATAGTCTGGAACACCCTCACATGCACATGAATGTCCACCCAGAGGTCCCAAAACAAACAGTCTAGTGATTGGAGGCATGATATTACTCCACGATTCAGTGTGAGGGCTATTTTTGTCTCCTCGGTCATGCTGCTGGAACCAGATTACAGCAGACCTTATGTTCACGATTGGTCTATGAAAACCAGAGTAAAATAAATAAATAAACTCACACCATCATGACTAAACCTCACTGACCTTTAACTTAACAGCACAAGCGTTTGGAAGAGCACCAACATACAGGATTACAGAACAATCGTCATGGTCACAGTTTCTGTATAAAAGATCTTGTGTGTGGGTTGCATAATGCAATGAGTGCAGATTACCTGGATGAGGATTACCAACATTCAGATCACATCCTACTCAAAGACTGTGTGAAAAAAGAGAGATCCTGCAAAAAGCATTAAATTTAAACCTCAGCCTGCTAGAGACACAAGAGTAAAGCTTATCCAGAGGAGAAATTCATCACCTGCGATGGCAAACTTCAACTTTATTTTTCATATGAACAAAGTCTGAGCTTTACTTTAAGGAATGTGGTTCCTAACTGGCCCAAATTAGCAACAACAAACCTACTGTAAATATGGATCTAGGGATCCTGAAAAACAGGTATAGAGTACAACTTTAAAAGCATATACGTAAAAAAAAAAGAATAATATTTGACCAGTTATGACCAAGGGAGACCCAATGATCAGAAAAATAAAAAAAGCAAAGAAGAAAAGCACCAATATGGAAATTTTGGCCAATACTAACAAATCTTTATATTATGAAACCGATAACCAATATACAGGTCTATAAATGTTATCCTGACAGGAGTTCTTGTTGTTTTTACTGAAACGTAACTACAGGAAATATCTAGATCTTCCTTGTTTACAAACACAAACATGTAATGCCCACTTTACTCAATGATAAAAACCTCCCACACCAAGATCTTGTTTTTCCTCAAGCATGAACTCTTCAAGCAAGCCTATTACATACGACAAGTCATGTGGTGTGGAAAGCACCTATAGAAACCTTTAGAGAAGTGCTTCAACTGCTAGAAATGATCAATCAATCATTAATTCACCTGCTTTAATAGAAAATCATCCTAATTTCTTAATTGTTTATCAAATTAAGAACAACAAAAAGTAGAATTTATTAGCCGCCATTATGGCCAGTGATATATTGGGGATTACTATAATAACAGATTTACTTCCACACAGATCTGCCTACAAGTTCTTACTACATTTCCCCACAGACATATCAGTGAACAGCATGTGTTCAGACAGGAATTGATGACAACACAAAGTCAGAGTAATACAAATGTCTGCGTAAATGCTTCTAGAGAAAGTCAACGAGGCCAGTCATTACATTTTAGGCAACTGATTTGCATGTTAAATAAATCCACCCTCGCTGGTGGCGTGAGGTAGCAGATGACTCATGCAGACTGTGAGATGGCCTTGAAACCAAACAGCATGAAGTTTAAATGTCAGACAAAACTGACAGACTCAGTCACACATCATACTTGCTGTCAATTGCCAAGGCAAGCATTACTATTGCTCATGATTACAGGACTTCACTCATCTTGAACCATTTGCAAAATGGACGTCAATTACACTTAAAATTACACAACTTGGGTAAAAGCAAATAAATCAATACATATCTATAAACCATGTGAATGAAACTCACATCTCTATTTATATGACAAAGTAGCTCATTCGGTTAAAAAAATATTCAAACTCAGTTACAAGGTCATGGGAGGGCACAAAAGTGGGTCAAATTCAAAATGTAGTGAAGAAGTCAGTTTAGACTAGTTTGAGTCAATGTGAAAAATAGAGCTGAAGGGAGGAAAATAACACCCACAGTCCAACTTTTGCCTCTATATACCAGAAACACAGGCTCATCTCACACCACATTTAAAGTGCATGCGCACTATGAACACAAGAGCTGATCAACAGTGTTGGAGGGGAAAGCCTCTGGTAGGTGACCAAAAACTCTAAAACCGCAAAAAGCTGCAGAGACGATGCAGAACAAGTCTGAACCCAATGACACAGACAAACATCAAAAGCAGAAGTTGGAGAAAGACCAGAATCCAAAGCACTCAGCCAAACACAGACAAAGAGAAGAGAGGGGGAAGGGAAGAGTGAAGCGAAGTGGGGGTTGATCCGCTCTGCACGTGAGTTCCAAACATTCCTCAGACGGGGTCGTATTTCTAGGGCAGAGCAGCAAAACTCAAGATAATATTAGCAGAACCACGAGAGCATAAGTCACGAATCACCTAATAATGAAAATGGAGTCATCATCATCATCATAGAACTGTTGAAGTGTTGTTCTAATGCCAGTAGGTGGCGACAAGTTTTAATAAGTGCATAATTTATCCTCGGAGCTGGTCATCTTCCAAAAACAAAATTCATGCTTTTTTGGGGACTACTTTTGTAAAATAAAAAAAATAAAAATGATACAACTATATATCTTGGCTAATATTTATAGAGTAGTAATAGCAATATACTTAATTGTTGCGTAAATTAATTAGCTCTCAAATGTGCAATCATAAGTCAAAAACAAGTAAATTACAATTACTCTGATAATCAATTAGTTGAATACTTTTTTGTTCGAGTTATTTGACGTTACGTTTTGCTTATTAAAACTATATAAAACATAAATCTGGGTATTATTTATGATTAATAAGTATACTTAAATTGCAAAAGCCATTTAATGATCTTTAATTTTTACATTTCAAACCAAAAAAGTTTGTTTTTTAAAGTAAAACTTCTCTAAATACCCAAAATCAAGTTGTACCATTATATTCACTTTATGATATTAGGACATAACTTGGCTGACAATAGGATAAAGACGCAGAATTTGTTGAAATACCGAGATCAACAAAAACAAATATTAGGTAAACTTTTAGTACTTAGTGCAAATGTAACATTCACTGAAAAAAACAATATTGACTTATTCTACTGCTGAGTTGTTTGCAAATTTTAAATAAGTGGAGTCGCACTATTCGCACCACTTAATTTACACTAGTGTCATTTCATTAATAAGTTGCAACTGAACAGATCTATTATAAAATGTAACAGTTTCCAATTGGTTAAAAAAAAAAAAAAAAAAAAAAAAAAAACACTATACCATTTGCCGCTCTCCGCAGTCATGTGAGCAACCCAACAAATCTGTAACAGCATTTGTTGACAACGAATTTCATTTTCAATTATTGTCGAGTTTATCAATTGGTTGTTTAAAGCCCTAGTGCAAAAATCAGAACTGCACACAAAAGAAAAAAACATTTAAACATTTAAATAGCAACATTATTCTACTCCAATTTGTCCTACATGGCTAAACATTAGATCATTTAATCAGTCGATCTATTGTTTTCATTACACATGCATTAATGCATTAAATAATGAATTTAGCAAAATGATTCTCTCTGGATACACTTTCTGCTGACTAAAATTGAACGACTTATTTTCCAAGGTAAATGTAATGTTTAATGACTATTTATAAGTGGTTTAAATGAGCAGTGAAAACACCAATTACAATTCATAACAGATTAAACATTAGAAAAGAAACATTTAAATGTCATACTACTTCCATCATAAAAAACAAACCTTTAAAACTATACAATAAACCCACCAAAAAAATCTTTTCCAGGCAGTTTTTCCATGTTCTTGCGTGGAAAGGTTCAAGTCAAAGCTTCAAGATCACAAGTGAATCTTTACCTCTCCTTGCTTGAGAAAACATGCTGAAACATCTACTCATTACACTTTCTCCAGCTCTGACTACTGCCATGCTTCAAACAATGACTTTCAGCCAGAAAGCCTTAGCATATGTTTAGCACTTAAAGAGGCTGTCTAAATTATAGCTTGCAGCTAGGTCATATTTAGCCCTTCAAAAGTGACCCCATTTGCATGGAAAGAAGCCGAGTCTTACTGGACAATGGCCACTTTAAATACGGATTTCACAAGACAGTCTTCACTCACAGTTTATTTTGAGCAGAGAGACTTTGTATGACTGGCATATCATCAAACTCAAAAGGAGACGTTTAAGGGAATGTCTTAACCACTTAAAAACAGAAAAGAGAGTAAAGAGAGAAGGTGAGTGGGAGAAAAAAAAAAAACATTTAAAATGTTCTCCAATGCTAGCCTCACCTACATTTGATGTCAATGACAATCATCCATGCTAAACAATAATTGGGCCTGCACAATACAGAGAAAATACACAATGTTGTTGAGTGTTATAAATAAATAGACACTTGATACTTACAACGATCAAACAGGTAACAGATTTTTTTTTGTGAGCTAATTAGATCTTAAAATAACTTAATCCCCAGGCATTAGTATTTATTTTCAGCCCTATGTTCATCTAACAGCACCTTCTGGAGAGGTGGGGATAAAGACATTAAAGGTCACATTTGATAGCTAATTTACTGCACTTCATGCTACATGGATATTGCATATACTCTTATGCCAATAAGCGCTAATTTTTCAATAAATTATGCAGCCCTTACATTAATATTGACAATACGCAATTAATTTGTGTGAGCTATTCATTTAATAAATAGTCTACAAAAATGGAAAGGCACAACGAAAAAACAGATGCATTGGCAGAGGAAAAATAATTGTGAATATAAAAGCAAGAGACGGTGACATGTCTGAGGTTTGCTTCCCACAAAACTCCAAAATCCACCACTGAAATTCTGACATCAGGAAGGGGTCAATTCGCAAAGGCACACACACTCACACTTTCCCTTTCTCTATCTATCAATTCACAAAAACTGCTTAAACAGGTCAGCTAAAGTGAGCACACAGCAGTTTAACAGTGCACCGCAGCAAAGAGAGAAAAATCGAGAGAAAGGAGGGGAATGAATAGAAGCAAAGTGAGGAACAAGTATGCATATTTCTCTTCATCTCAATAAGGCTTTTTACAAAATGTTACAGGATGTTTACATACATCCAGCTAAGCCTCTTTTTTCCCATTTCAACACCCTAATCGGAAAATCCTGTTCTTTTGAATCAATTATTAATAAGCTTCTTTAGAAATATACAGAAGTACTTCTTAAAAGCTCAGCTTTAAAGCAAGTCTGCATTCATGTAGCAATTAAGTAAAAATAAGTGCCTAAAAGATTACAACATATGGAAATGATATACATATTCACCGGCCACTGTATTAGGTACACCTGTCTAACTCCTTGTTAATGCAAATTTCTAATCAGCCAATCACATGGCGGCAACTCAATGCATTTAGGCATGTAGACATGGTCAAGACGATCTGCTGCATTTCAAACAGAGCATCAGGATGGGGAAGAAAGGTGATTAAAGTGACTTTGAACATGGCATGGTTGTTAGTTGCAGATGGGCTGGTCTAAGTATTTCAGAAACTGCCGAACTACTGGGATTTTCAATGGTCCAAAAAAAAGATAAAATATCCAGTGAGTGGTAGTTCTATGAGCGTAAATGCCTTTTTAATGCCAGCGGAGAAGGGCCAGACTGGTTTGAGCTGATAGAATAGCAAGAGTAACTCAAATAACAACTTTTTACAACCGAGGTATGCAGAAGAGCATCTCTGAACGCCAACACGTCCAACCTTGAGGCAGATGGGCTACAGCAGAAGACCACACCGGGTGCCACTCCTGACAGATAAGAACAGGAAACTGAGGCTACAATTCACACAGGCTCACCAAAATCGGACCATAGAAGATTGGAAAAACTTTGCCTGTCTGATGAGTCTCAATTTCTGCTGCGACATTCGGATGGTAGGGTCAGAATTTGGCATCAACAACATGAAAGCATGGGTCCATCCTGCCTTGTATCAATGGTTAGAGCTTGTGGATTAATGAGTTCACTGTACTCAAATGGCATCCACAGTCACCAGACCTAAATCCAATAGAGCACCTTCAGGATGTGGTGGAACAGGAGATTCGCATCATGGATGTGCAGCCAACATATCAGCAGCGACCAAAACCTCTGAGGAATATTTCCAGTACCTTGTTGAATCTATGCCACGGAGGAACAAGGCAGTTCTTAAGGCAAAAGGGGGATCCAACCCGGTACTAGTTAGGTGTACCTAATAAAGTGGCCGGTGATTACTTTTCTTGTTTGAATTTAAATTAAATAACTAAAATGCATATATTGGTTTTCAAGCCTACAAAAAAATAAATAAACACTAGAGAATAAAATAGAAGGATTAAAACTTTTAAACATGTCTACTTAATCTGCCATAAACTTCACTTTCATGTGTTAAGCTTTGAAGTCTCATCCCTAAAAGGTTTTCCCCTTCGTCTTAAACTTTTAGTTCTCAAATTTTTCCAAGTTATCACAAGTCAGTAGACCAGCCAGCTTCATAATTACAGGACCGGAGTCTGATACGGTCTCTCAGCTTTCTTGCTCCCTGTAGAAGAAACCCAGACCAGAGTATGTGTGGGGGAGTGACGGCAGCTATTCATAGACATAAAGTAGGAACAGTGCTTTTTCTCTCAAAGACTCGAGAGGAGGCATCTCAGCACATATGTGAAAGCAGATCAGGCTGGCATATGGATCATGTGAGCCCACAAAGGAGAGGGGATTACAAATTTGTGACACGTGTACACTTAAACCAAGCCACAACCCAAACATCATCCACACACACACACACACACACACACACACACAAAACTGAACAAATGAACGAACGAAAGAACAAGGAAAAACACATTAAAAGGAAACAAAACGTCAATCTTTTTTAGATTTCCCAATAGGTTGTTTTCAGTCACGTGGTCCTGGTGATGTGCGAAATTCAGATGGAGGGCAGGAAGTAAAAAAAAAAAAAAAAAAAAAAAATGAATGGGAGACATGGAGGAAAGTCCTTATTTTTGCGATACATACCATATGTCAAAGGAGATCTAAACAGAAAATAGGCACATATGTTGGCCATGACCCTTATATCATGAAGATGATCTCGTTTTCTCTTGAACTAAAATGTATTTGCTTGTTAATTATGTTTTATGAAAAAATACTATGATGAATACTATAGTGTTCGGAAGCATACTATAATGACTTGTATTAAACTGTTGTAGTAATTATTGTTGCTGTGGTACAACACAACTGTATTAATAAATTATTCAATAGGCTTCAGTTATCTACGCTATAATCACAATGCACCACAGTTTATACTGACGTTACAGTTTATCAGTTTACTATGCTACACTATTACTATAGTTTTTCAACATGCAGATATCTTCCAGACATCACAAAAAAACAGTTGAAAGCATACAAAAGCGTAAATGCATAGTCTACAATATTTATTTATTAGAGGGGAAAAAAAGTGCTCAAAAATAAAAAAATTAGAGTTTTGTTACAAGACAAAGGCATTTCTTTTTTGTTCTGTCGATAAATTTACAATCAATAAACATTCACCACTGCTGCGCATCTCGATGATAGCATTAAGATTGTAAATTCTGATGAAACGCCAGCAAAGACATGGATTATTGCAATAGAAGATAGAAATTTCATTGCTATTACATAGCAGGGTATGTATATTCTCCTGGATTTTGTACAAGTGGGGTGGTGTTTGCATTTAATTTATATACAACATAACATGTATACACATAGCTAGGCCTGCTTATAATCTTTATTGAAGCTGTCAAATGAATTATCGTGCTTAAAAAAAAAGTCTGTACACATGGATGTATTAAGAAAATGTTTATAACATGCCGCATTTTCTTCTGTTTTCTTAACCAGTTTGTTTACTTTCTCCGCTTTGAGTTAAAACTTTTGGCAGTCTATAAAAGCTGTTCGCCATTTCTTATTTTGGCTGATTTAAACTATTATAAGGAACATAAAACAAATATTTTGATGTTCTGATAGCCATTACGTAAAAGTATCACTTCATGCACTCCTTCTGAATTTTGCACGTCATCAATAACGTCATGTCAAAACAACCTATGTTCCAAAATATTCCACTCTGGCTCAATTCACTTTATCCTGCATTGTTGAAGTACGTTCTTTTCTGTGATTGTTTTAGGACTTCTGGTTAATTTTCCAATGGAGGAAACGACTAGGAATGACAAAGGACAGAAACCGGTCGTACAACTTGCTGAAAATCCCAGCGTGCTTATTATGATTATAAATAAAAAAAAATATTAAGAAAAAATACCAGTTTGCAACATCAAACAGCAATTTTTATGGCTAAAAATCAATGGACGCGAATGAGATCGGAAGTCTTTAGCCAATGAGGTTCTAATGGCTGCACCCGCTCTCATGTAAAAGAAGAAGGTCAATAAAGGGACAGCTGTGCAATTTTGTCATAATATTTTTCCATCAGCTTCCTTTTAAAACACAACCGGATGTACAGCAACCACACAGAAAGCTAACATACAGGAAAGGGTGTCACAAACAGGAAGTCGGAGGTGCCAATTCAAGGACTGTTTACTTCCTGCGATACAAGGAATCAGTGAATGAAATGAAATCTCATTCATGTCTCAGCCAAACAAGACGCCATCTGGATGGTTGTCAGTACGATGAAACAGAACATTGAAGGTGCAAAATCTGAGCAAGTGAAAGCAAAAGTAAGAATAAATACCTTATGGGAATAGTGGGGGTCCATGATCCGGGCGAGTCCAAAGTCTCCAATTTTTAGAACCAAGTCCTCAGTGTTGACAAAGAGGTTGGCAGGCTTCAGGTCACGATGAAGCACGTTTGCAGAGTGGATGTATTTGAGTCCCCGGAGCAGTTGGTACATGAACAGCCGTGCGTGATCCTCAGACAACAAGCCCTGTTCCAGTACTTTACAGAGGTCAGTTTCCATGTACTCCTGGACGATGTACACTGAATTGACCTCTGTCAGAGAGCTCACGTCCTCCGTGAGCCTCCGGCCACTGGGCCCCAGAGTTTCGAACACCTTCACGATGTTGTCATGATCAAGCCTGCGGATGATTTTGATTTCACGCAGCGCATGTTTGACACTCTGTGGGTCAGTCAAGACAATCTTTTTAACAGCAACCCTCTTGTCACAATCGGTATCAACAGCGGAAAACACCAAGCCGTTGCCACCGTAGCCAAGTGGCTTCAGGTCCATGTAGCGAGGCCCCAGATCGAAGCCATGAATGTTCATAAGGCTTTCAAATTTCTCTGCCATTCTGTGATCTAGAAGAGCAGCTCTGTGCAGATATTATAGCAGGAAGTATTTCTGATTTTAACTGATATGCAGCCAATTTGGAGTTTCTAGAAAAAGTTGACTCAAACTACACTCAAGCCTAGTAAGACTTGAGCGTTTTCCCCTGACCTACTGTTACAGCGTATACTGAGAGATAGGAACTGATAAGGATATGTTGCCAGGATATGTGGTCATCATCCACAACACTTCCAGCAGCTTTTTCAAGACTAATGGGAACTTAACTTAAAATGGAAATTTGATTTGTTTCAATGTTTAATAGGGCGTAACGGAATGAATTTGGAGGCCAATCAAATCTCTCTGAACGAAACTGAAATAACTGAAGTCTCTACAAATAAAACCATTGTCACAGTGCAGAAATTTTCAGTGTACGACTGGCCCTGAGCAGCAGCATTATTATTATTATTAACGGTCCTAGTAACTGGTGACAAATGTAATATTTTTCCTTGTTCCTTTTTAAAATGCCTGATGATGGGAAATTGAAATGTTTGATGTTCTCAACAAGACACTTCCTTCTCAATGATCAGGCGGCTCCAGCTCACCGCAGTCGCAATCAAAACTATCCTCCATTTTACACCGGGATACCCTGCAAAATGGCACAAAAACAAACAGATTAGGAGTGTAATATAGGCCAAAATAGCAAATCTAAATCTAAAGCAAAGCAATTTATAAATGTGCATTCTGAACGACACAAATAAAAGGGAATGGATTTGATCTGTTTTAAGCTCAAAAGGACACTGAATAGAGGGCAACAATCTAAGCTGAAAATACTAATTTTAAGGAACATCAGTGTTTAATGAAATACAACACTTATTCAGTTCTGATCTTTTTGAATGAAACCGATTTAAAAGAAAAAAAAAATCATACAAGGTTATGGCATCCCTCTTGAGCAATGTTTCCTGTGTGTGTTTGTGTGTGTGTGCTCATGGCGCCACTACACTTTCTGATGTCATGGGTTCCCGTTTCTCCACCTCATGACTGTAAAAAGCACCACAGTGATCATAACACACATGTAATGGATTAACACGGGACCCGGCCGGTCTGTGGAAACAAAGGTTGGTGATTCAGCCACGTTGCAGCAGTGTGTGAGGGAAATGATGGCTAACCGGCCGACCATTTTGTTAACTAAAAGAGGGAGCCAACAAACCTTAAACCAGTCCAGTAACGTTAGTGACATTAAATCAACACCTATTAATCCTGTTTACACTATGAGAAAGTGAAAGCGTTTTAATTAATAAACATAAACCCATCATGTTGCTTAACGTTATATGGATTGACCAGTAAAACATGTTTAAATGCTTTTATTGACAAGGTTTACCAACTCATCTCAAACACAAAAAGTAAATATAACGTTACTAAGATTATTTCTGAACAAATATATAAATAATTCATTAGGTATTAAAGCGGCTTGTTTAAAAACTTTGAAAAAATGCAATAATGACGCAAACAATAACTTGGCGTTGTTGTACACACGCGGTTCGCTTTTGTTGCTGCTCTGTTAAAGTTTACAGTTGATCGGCTTGTTTATATGGTTTATTGGCCATTTTCGGTCCTCCATTTTACTACCGGCTACATGCTAAAGCTAAAACCAAACCGGCTCAGAGACGAAACATTGGCACAATTCAAAAACAACTAAACTGAATTAATTACCCAGTAAAAATATGAGTATCCGCGAATATACAAACTCTACAAAATGTTCGTAAGCATAAATCGAACATTGTTTCTAAGACAGCGGGAGAATTCACATATACACCAATTCGCATTACAAAGGATTAATAAACAAGCTATTAGGAGTTAAATAATCTTCTTAAGTATTATAATGTCTCGTATATCAGTAAACAATGTATTATAACGATTTAACAGTCATTTCTTTATGCATTTACGGCGCTTCGACGCGTTACCTGAACAAAGAAGGTTATTGTGCCGAGGCTAGATTTCACCAAGCCGCCCATTTGCCGTTAAAATAAACCCTTTAACCCAGCAAAACGACCATATTTACGCTTACATACAAAGCAAAGAAACAAGCCATGTACTCACTCTTCTCGCTGGTGTCATGTATATTTTATTCCTAACCGTTCCGGGCTAGGTTTGTGTGCGCTACCTGCGCGCTCTCCTTACAGACTGCTGTGTGTGTGAGTGAAGCTCTTATGTTGAAGATCAGTGTGAATAAGCGTTGCGACGCATGCGCATTAATGCGTGCTTCTATTTCCATCTGTGAATCCCCCGCTCTATGAAGCGCATGGGCACTTCATAGCGCTCTTGCACTCATCCCGCTTCTTTTATTGCTATGTAAATCGCGCCGCATTCACATTCATTGATATTAAAGTCATAAATTTTATTTTATAATTAAATCAATTATACTAATAATTTATTCGAAATCATTACATTTAAATTAAATGTAATAACCACTAAAGATATGTTGATGTGACAGAATATTTGAAATTATTGCACAACAAATTCTGTAATGGCGGTTCATTTCACTGTAATAATCAGGGACTAAGCCGAAGGAAATTAATGAATAAATAATTCAGTAATTAAAACATAATTTAGTAAAATTAGCAGTTATTTAAACTAATTTAAACTAATTAAATCAATCTTTATACTAACCAAAGCATACACTGTAAATAATGCTGGGTTCCACACAATCCTTCCATGTCACCCCACTCAAATCGATAAAAAAAACCTAAATAATTGAGTTGGTTCAGTTCATTTTAAATAAGTGGCTAGAATAAGCATTCAAAATATTTTTTGAGTGTTCAGGATCCAGAATATTTCAAATTACTGCACAATAAATTCTGCAATTATTAAATAATCAGAAAAGTTTGTAGTTATTCAAACTTGATCTCAACTAGAATAATTAAATTGAAATTACTTAAAATTTATTTTAATTAAAATTGTATTCACAAAATATATACAGTTGCCAGAAGCCATAATATTTTTATTTATTGTACAATAAATTCTGAAATCAATAATAAATTAGCAAAATCATCAGTTATTAATAGCCTACTTCATTTAAATACATTAAACTAAAATTTACTGCAATAACCACAATATCTTTAAAAGAACGCAGGGACTTTAAAATGTTACAATAAATTCAGGAATAAATAAACATCTCTGAAAATCTATCAAAATCACTGCTGAATGTAGTAACAACTAATGCACAGCTTAAATGTTGCATTACTTGCATATAGCCTATTCTTTGTCACATCATTTAAATAAATCTATATTTTTCATGGTAACTCGGTGGTTAGCACTGTCGCCTCACAGCAAGAAGGTCGCTGGTTTGACACACGGCTGAGTCAGTTGGCATTTTTGTGTGGTGTTTGCATGTTCTCCCCGTGTTTGTGTGGGTTTCCCCCAATGACATGTGGTATAGACCATTTTGAGGACAAAAACAATGGTCCCAACATATTTCCTGTTTTACATATTTAATTTCTATAGCTTCCGAGAATCCAAAAAGAGTTATGATTAAATTGCCTCTTGTTACAGTTCTGAGATAGTTTGATTGGGAATGCCGAAGCATGCTAATAGGACTTTTAATTTGCCAGTAACCTGGGTTAAGCGCTTCCGGCAAATTGAATGCCAATGCAAAATCAGGTGCGTTTAAGGTTTGTTTTCTTTAAAAATCAGCGATCTCCACTAGCTGAGTGATATCCGATTTAAAGTGGGTCTCAGATTGTACAAGAAGCACTGCATTAGATTACATTTCCCCCACCATATCTTTATAATATGAGCATTTATTTTACCCCAGTATATTCAATGGAGCTTCTGCGTTAGCCTGCCGATTCTGACGGGCGCGTGCGAGTAAACAGCTTTTTGTCTCGTTTTACGCTTGCGCAACTAAATAAATGCTAAAGTTTATTTAACTGAATGTATTTTAATGACATTACAACATCGATGCTGTAAAAGGAACCGTATAAAATGGTAAAAAGTTCACAATAACAGGTCACCGGAAGTGTATCAGCATGGGAACTGCACTAGCTCGGCATATACCCTATAGGTTAAGTGAATAAACCAAATTGGCCATTGTGTATGTGTGTGAATGAGTGTGTATGGGTGTTTCCCAGTACTGATTTGCAGCTGGAAGGGCATCTGCTGTGTAAAACATATGCTGGAATAGTTGGCTATTCAATCCACTGTGGTGACCCCAAGGGACTAAGCCGAAGGATAATGAATTAATATATGTTGACAATAGAGGCTTTTTTTAAATTTTATTTAATTAGTTTTACATTTATATCAATATCTGGTTTATACAATCCTCTCTACATAATATTGGCAAACCTTTCAAAAATAAGATAATAATAATAATAATAATAATGAATCTAATAGGCTAATGTCACACTATATAGCTCGTGCTAAAAACTGTTGTGAACACTCACAACAGCTGAATTCATTCATTCATTTTCTTTTCGGCTTTATTAATCAGGGGGCGCCACCGCGGAATGAACCACCAACTTATCCAGCATATGTTCCAGCCACAACCTAACACTGGGAAAAACAGCTGAATTGTTATATACGGGATCACCAAAACCCACAGTTTCAGTTTAATCCTTGGAATCACATCAAATGTTTATGTGAACTAGCTGCCACTTTAAGCGGGGCCTAATATATTTCTTTTTAAACATTTTGACGTTGTGGTTGCTCATTCAGGTGACGCTTATTTCAAGATGCTGCTCAGTAGGGTCGTTCTGTTCTGTCCTAAGGTCGGTTTGGTCTTTATAGCCTACATCCTGTCAATTAAAAAGTCTCGAAACCGGATCTGCCAGTAGGGGCAGACTGCCTAAGATCTCAATGTTCCCGAACCACTCAACATTTATTGCCTTTAACTGACGCTTACATATGAACCTGTAGTGATGGGATGCACCTAGAAGTTTCAAGTTTTTATGTTTGCATGCATTTATATGCATTTTCAATGTTATCATTATGTCATCTTTTCATATATTACAGCAATGCCATCTCCTAAACTGCTCTTAAAAGCTACACATTATGATAAGAGAAAAACCATGCAACAGAACACCATCACTCAGCAGTCTGTAGGCAGAACATCATCCCTCAGCAGTCATCAACCAGAACATCATCATATCTGATGTAGACAGCATGTTCTGATCTGTCTCTACTCACTGCAGACGGGTCGATCAGTCGCTCCCTCCCCGTGTCGTCTCTCTTATTCCAGAAATACACGTTATAATTATATTATCCGAGTGTCTTCATGTGGCTACGAGCAGAGGTCTGACCGCTGGACGCATGATGATGCTGCAACATCGCCGCAGTAAGGCATGTGGATGCCCACAAAACACGGTTTAAAAACGCTAAATGTAGCTGGGCAGAGCAGCATGAGCCGGAACAGAATGACCAGGGCTGTGTGTCCTGCGCCAGAGCTGAATAAATGGACGGATGCAGCGCAGCATCATCAGCATGTGAATCCCCATGTGCTCGCCGTCTATGCCGCACTACGACTGCGCTTTTAGAGTAACACTCACGCCACTGCGCCGCCACGCACATCATATTTCATAGAAATAAATAAATAAATACATCATGATAAAAATGTACATCAATTATATTTATTTTTAATGTATTATGTTTATTGCCATTAATCTTATTTAAAATGTATTTGCATTTATATTTTTATATAATAAATAATATTATATTACTTTTATAATAAATAATAAATAATAATAAATTGTTTATATAAAATACATTTTTAATGTTATTTTAGAATGACAATAACAACAATATATTTATTTATTTATTTATTTACCCTGGTGAAATGATCATGCTGGTCCTTTACGCACAACAAATGGGGATTATGGATAAAAACCAACACAGAAAAGCCAATGCAATGTGTACTATATTATAGTGTGAAGTGAGTCCATATAATTAAACTGTGGACCATGACAAAATAGGGTGGACCTCAATGTCTATATATGCGCCAATAACACAGAAATGCTAAATTACACAGAAAAAAAACAAAAAACATTTGTTTGTGTCTAAACAAGAAACAGGTCAAAAATATCAGAAAATATATGTCTACATTTTAAATAAAATAAGACTTTAATTGAAAATATGAGTACATTTCTTCTTGTGCGCCGAGTAAATAAACACTATGCTGCTTTTAGGATACATTTTGGTTTAACTTCACCTTTAACATTAATTAAATGTTGTAGCTCACATGCATTCATTGTTGATTTTAAAAAAGAAAAGAAATGCAGAAACAATGCACCCGGTGATTGGTTAGTTATAGGACATCCAGGATGTGGCCGCAATAATGATGATGATCAGTTGTTTTCCATTGCTTCTGAAAACATGAGGAAGTCAAGCAAGGAAATGGAACTTGGGTATAGGTGGATGATAAATTGGGTAGACATGATGGATGAAAACCAACCAGAGACTATAAAAAGCAGCAGTACACTTTTAGTCTATTTGAGGTCTTTTAAAAGCAGCTTTGTTTGAATCAGAAATAGTCAGTTGTTATTCACTGAAAGGGCTTTTTGGAGCTCCATGTGATATATTTTCCTTTTTACAGAACAGAGCAACATGGATGAGATGGTAGTTTTCTTTTGATAAAATGTTGCATTGTGCTATATGGTCAAAGAGATTTTAATATAGTTGTTATTCTAAACATAGCCTAATAGTTTTAATAACTAATCATAATAACTGATTTATTTTATCTTTGCCATGATGACGATACATAATATTTTACTAGATATTTTTCCAAGATAGTATTCAGCTTAAAGAGCAATTTAAAGGCTTAACGGTTAATTAGGCAAGTAAGGGCAGGCCCGTCTATTAATAGCCAGCCTATTGAAAGGTATGGTACTTTATTTACAAAAGTGGAGATTCTTTTCAGTTATTCACCTCATTTTCTATTCAATTATGCATTTTATCAAAATTTTAAGAACTAATCTTTGCTGGATCAGCTTGTCGGATGGTGATCATAACCACACTTTTATGATGCCCCAAAAACATTTCCTACAATTTTGTCAAAGTGCTCACCATACTATTTTACTAAGTACCTGACAAAAGTCTTGTCGTTAATCCCAGTTGTGAGAGCAACAAATATTAACTTGACTTCTAGTTGATCATTTGGAAAAGTGGCAGAAGGTAGATTTTTCTGATAAATCATATGTTTAACTACATCCCAATAATCACAAATACTGCAGAAGACCTATTGGAACCCACTATTCTCACAAA